ATGTACATTTCCTAATTTTTATGGTGGTTGCGAGATCGGTCAAATCTACCAAACCTGTACAGAGATTAATTACTGAAATAACAGATAAAATATAAAGTTTTTTTCTTAAGAAAGGTTTGATAACTATCTCGACATTATAAAGATTTTGCATGTGAAATTTCAAAATTTTCTGATGCATAAAAGTATTTTTAATCTTAAAATTAAAATTACTTTGCATGATAGATAGGCAAGATGTGAAAAGAAAGAAAAAAGGCATGAGAGAAACATTGTTTTACAAACCTTATGACTTAAAAAAATTAGATATTTTGTGTATGAAAACATTGTAATGGTTACTGATAATCTGCCAAATATAGTTAATGTTCACTCACTAATTTAAAAGTTATAGCATATGCTCTAACAAGAACAAAATGGTTGTCACGTTGACCGACCACCATATTGAAAGAGTTAATGTTTTTTTATGTTTCAAATTTATTTTTGTTTGAGAAAACAAATTAAGTTAATGTGTGAAAGGAAGTTCTCTGTTCTTTAAGTCACCTAATGTTAAAAAGATCAAAAATAAAGTGTGATCAACATGAAATGTTTGTTTATATTACAGACTTGTTCACCAGAGGTATTGATATACAAGCAGTCAATGTGGTTATCAATTTTGACTTTCCTAAGATGGCAGAAACTTATCTTCATCGTATTGGTAGATCTGGTCGATTTGGACACCTGGGAATTGCTATCAACTTGATTACTTACGATGATAGGTTTGCTTTACATCGTATTGAACAAGAACTTGGAACAGAAATAAAGCCAATCCCTAAGGTACAGATGTGTATTTTGTTGTGCATATGAACTGCTTTCATTAGAATGAATTTTAGACTCATCTTGTGTGTGTGTATATGTATCTAGTTGGGGGGGGGGGTAATGTTTGTGAAATGATATCCTCGTGTTGCAGCTGTTTTTATGGAACCTTTAGTTCCACCACAATAAGGACCCATCTTCTAGTTCTTCCAACATTACACAAACATAGTGTATTTGTAGGAGATCACAAAGAGAATTCTGGTAACAAGAGTGAATCGAATGACTAAATTCCAGCACAGTGAATTGGCTAGTGCTGAGTAGACTAAATAAAGGTTTGTTCCGGTTAGACACCATTTAATCCACAAGCAACACGTACTGATATTTTTTGTGATCATTTTCTCATACAGGTTGGATAATGAAATGTGATTGAGTAAATATTTTTATCTATTATTGCCCCGTAGACTGGTGCACATTAGTGGATTTGTTAATAAAGACAACTTATTTTCTGCAACCACGGGAGCCTAACACGTTGAGCAAAAGGGGCACATGCTCTTCCCCCCCCCCCCCAACCTTTTTTGGTTAGTGTGCATGCACTATCATTAACAATTATTAGATTGACTTACCTTTTTTGTTTTTTTAAACACAGAACATAAGTAAGTGTTTGCTTGCTCGCACATGTGCTCTAACATTTACATCTGCACATGTTTTAGAGCTGTGAATTATGGCAGGTAAAGACATTCTACAGGCATTCTTTATCTGTCAGTATGTTTTGCATGTTTTCGTCCACGTCTTTTAACCTCTGCCGTAAAATAAAATGTTATAATATGGCACCTTTTAAATAACCAAGCCAAAAACAACTAGCATTGTTTATATAGCCATCAAATAAAATGCAGAATAGTAGAATGCATCTCAGTGGATGTATATATTAAATTTTTCCAGTCCAGTGGCAATGTATTGCCATTTCTGCATTTGCATTCATAAAATCTAACTCTTAAATGACACCATTTCTGAATCAGGTGTTTCAAACATAATGTATGATAACCTTGAATGTTTCTTCACCTAACCGTGATTTTTGACCAATTTAGAATTTGTAATGAAATAAAATTCATTATGTGACACAGCTGTATACTGTGCCATCCATCACGCCAAACATGCTCGCCCTTTCAGCCGTGGGGACGTTATAATGTGACAGTCAATCCCACTATTCATTGGTAAAAGAGTAACTCAAGAGTTGGCGGTGGGTGGTGATGACTAGCTGCCTTCTCTCTAGTCTTTCACTGCTAAATTAGGGACAGCTAGTGCAGATAGCCCTCGTGTAGCTTTGCGCAAATTTCGAAACAAACAAACAAACAATACTGTGCCCTTAATACAAAAATGCCTGTAACACAGCTAACTTAAAAGCCAAGTTTCACACTTGTTTGTTCTGTAGACTACACATTTTATGTAACAGAGTTAACTTAAAAGCAAAGTTTCACACTTATTTGTTTTGTAGACTACACATTTTATGTAACAGAGTTAACTTAAAAGCAAAGTTTCACACTTGTTGTGTTCTGTAAAGTACACATTTTATGTAACAGAGTTAACTTAAAAGCAAAGTTTCACACTTGTTGTGTTCTGTAAAGTACACATTTTATGTAACAGAGTTAACTTAAAAGCAAAGTTTCACACTTGTTGTGTTCTGTAAAGTACACATTTTATGTAACAGAGTTAACTTAAAAGCAAAGTTTCACACTTGT